AGATGTACCTTTAAGCACATCTTTATACCTAATGTCAATAACACTGTGGTCATCAAATGTATTTAGTTGAATAGCTTATTTTTCATGCCTAAACACATTCAGTATGTTATTTACTGTGAGATATTTTTTATAAGCAAGCACAATCTGAAAAGTAAAGAATCCTAAAAGTCTCTGGCCTGCTGTGGTCAGTAAGTAAAAACTGATGCAGCCAAACACTGTTCAGACCCTCCAAACTGTGTCTCCAAATATATCAGTGTGACATGTGCGTAAAAATGATGCACAAGCCTTTTTATGGAATTGTGCAGCCATAAAAATCTTAAAGCACATACTAATACTGTCAGACATTGCGAAATAAGAATATTTGTACAAGATTAAAGGCATAAAAGGGGGATAAGAAACAGGATGTTAAATGTACTGTAGATAATTCACTTCTGTTTTAAAGTCACATGAGGCAGGAAGGAAGAATGTGGTGGTCAACTCTGCCCTGGCTTCAAAACCAGGCAGAGTCGTGTTCGTGGCCCAGACCTTTGTGAAAGCCAAGATTTCTAAACAATGTTTTCCCTGGAATCTCAAAGCAATCTTCATAGTTATAATTTTCTAAATGTGTGTGTATGTGGGAAATTCAATGAGGGCTCCAAGTGCCAAGTGTGTGTGTGCCTGTGTGTGTGTGTGTGTGTGTGTGTGTGTGTGTGTGTGTGTGTGTGTGTGTGTGTGTGTGTGTGTGTGTGTGTGTGTGTGTGTGTGTGTGTGTGTGTGTGTGTGTGTGTGTGTGTGTGTGTGTGTGTGTGTGTGTGTGTGTGTGTGTGTGTGTGTGCGTGTGTCAGATAGCTGATCCAAACCAGCTGTCAGTGTGTCCACATCCCCTCTCTTCATGTCTTGGTAAGGCCATACTTAGTGGATGAGAGACACAGGGGAGCGACCTCGGAGCATTTCACTCAGCTATCCAATAACATGAATCTCCCGTATGAAAGTTGACCTGTGCTGAAAGAGTCCTGAGTTTGTTTATAAGACCCAAGCATTTAGATTTTTATATAAACATTTCTCTCACTAATGCTGATTTTGAACAGCAGTTGAACTTTGGCCACAAAAATGTCAGGATTATTATCTTATGTCGAGGTAACTTTATTTTGTGTTGATGAAATGAAAGTTCACACCAGCACCCCGGGGTTGTTGTAAATCATTAACCGGAGTAATAGAATCGGACATGGGGAGGACCGATGTGTTAACAAAAGATTAAAATACAACATAAATAATACTGCTGGAATGCAGTAAAAAAATATTCAAATCTTTCACTTGAAGGTGGGGTAGGTCATTTTGGAGAAACCAGCTCGAGTGCGCTAGAATTTTCAAATACACAGCCGGAAAAAATCTGCCACTTCCTTACAGAGCCCCTCCTCCAACACACACGAACGCGCACATGACCAATGAGGGCACGAGCTAAGTTTGTGCACAGATGGACACAGATGACATTTTTTAATGGATTTTTTGTCAAAGCACTTAAGATATTCATTGCTATCGGGATGTTAAGAGCATTCCATTGAATATAACAAAAAGTGTATCTTGAGCCAGTTTCTCAAACTTACCTACCCCACCTTTAAAGGGGCCCTATTCTGCTCTCTTTCAGGTTAAAATTGGTATTTGTGACATGTTTCCATGCTGCTCTTTTCACCCTGAGACCAGAACCAGAACCAGAACCAGAGCCCAGTCTGCTCTGATTGGTTAGCCGGCCAGCTCTATTGTGATGAGTAAACTGCTTAAAGATGTTCCATCCCTTAGCCTATTTTGTACAATTTGTTGGAGCGCTAGCCAATAGAAGCGCTGGTGTTATATAGTGATGTCACTATGTCATGGAAGTAAACAAAGGAGTCCAATGGAGGCGCTTCAGGCGGGGGGGGGAAGTGTATAGGAGAGAAACTCCCATCGGAAGCAACTTTGAGATTGTAGCCTTTGTAGACCATTACATGCAGACACCTATACAACACTGGAGGAGAGGGAAAACCCCAAAAGCATAATTTGTTCCCTTTAATATACAGTATATAGTGCAGTGTTTCCCTTACCATTGTCTTGGAGGGGCGCTGCGTTGTGAGATTAGTGTTTTTGACCCTAAAAAAATAATATATATCCCAACCCCCCCAGCTCAGGCAGCACCCCCCCAAAGCAGTAAACCTAGGGGAAACACTGCAGTGTGTAAAGTGTTGTTTAGTACTTCCCTGATATTGATTGTGTTCTCTTTTCTATAGGCTCAGGTGTGTTTCTGAAGACACACCCCCCCCACATGAGTCAACATGCTGCCTGAGACCCTCCTGCAGCAGTGATGGCGGCCCTCAGCCCCCCCGCCCCTCTCCTCTGGGTGCTGCTGTGTGTGTCGGTGGCTCTGCAGCGCTCTGACCTGCGCCTGGCCTATGTGACCCACAACAGCTTCTTCTACTACTCCTGCAGCCAGCTCCCGCAGCCCTGCAGCCTGTCGTCCCTCACAGACTGCAGATGCAAGGACATCCAGTCGTACTCCACCCCTGTTTTCGGAGCAAGACGTTTAACAGTTTGGTTCACGTCGCCGCTAAACACGGCACGTCTGCTCAACAACTCTGAGGTGAGGCACCTAACTCTCATCCACTGTGGATCCAGAGAGACACCTTCTTCTTCCCTGGAGGGACATTTTTCTGTGCAGCACCTGGAGAGACTGACCATGGTGAACATGGCAGAGAGGCCTGTTTATCAAAGTCCAGATGCAAACAGATTTAGAACCTCAAACAGTGACCCAGACAGGGATAATGGAGCTCACTTTGACTCAAATAGATACAACAGGGAAGAAGACACAAACATGGAAATGGTTGAGGACCTGCAGAGAGATTCCTTTGATTTTTCCCCATCCCAGATCCAGGACATCTTCCTGGGCAGGGAGCTGGGAGCAGCGTTTCATGAACAGGCCCGACTGGGGGTCATCCACAGCTCCGTGCTGGAGTGGGGGGCGGAGGCCAAAGCCTACACTGTCCAAACACATATAGACAATGACGGCATGCTGCCCTTTCAGGACCTCCACCTGCCGAAATTACCAGAGACCTCTGTCATATATGTCAGCTTTGTGTACTGATACTGAGTAACTTAGAACAACAGAGGGAAGAGGATCCAGTGTTCAGGACCTGCAAACAATCTCTGTCTTGCTCAGCAGGGGTCCTGTTTCAGAAACTATCCTCTTTCTTAAGGAGAATCTAAAGTAGGTTTTTTCCCAATTTCTTTTCCCTTGCTTACCAAACATTCTAACCAATGGCCACCAATCTTTCCTCACATGGCCGGGCTAAACTACTTTGTATTTATCATTGTCACATACGATAACATACATTGACAAATACAAAGATTGAGCAAAAACAGCAATGGACATTCAAATTTGAGATAGATAATTACGTATAAAGGGAAAGTTTCTTAGTCGTGGTACCGAAATAAGGAGAGATTATTCAATATTTTGATGAATAAATAAGGAGGCTCTTGAAATACAAACTCCCTAAGTTACTTAGGGACATTCACTAAGAACCTTAGAAAACGACATACGATTTTATTGTCAAATAGCTTTAATTGTATTTTTCCCAAGCGACCTGGAAAGAATGCACAGCTGTTTATCAGCATGATAGAAGAAGATATGTTAACTAATGAGAGACCCTCTGAGGGAGCAGAATATCAACCCCCTCCAGCTGACGAGTCCTTTGTTTCTAAATACTGAAATGAGATAATGGTGTAATCCCTAATACGAAATGATAGTGACAATCTGGCGGCTTTGAACGTGTTGAGCATTTATTTTCCTCTTGTTTTTCCTCTCCACCAAAAAGAGAAATGAGAACTTCCATCAAGGAATTCATCCAACAAAACGTCTGAATCCAGACTGAATGAAAAGCTGCTGGCTGTTCTTTCTTCGGTTCAGGAAGCCATGTTTATCAGATGAGAAAAACAGGAGGGTTTAGTATTTAAGAGGGAGGACATTCCACACATTTGGACACAGAATGAATTCTTCGCAGCTCTGCTTTTTTCATTTTCTCCAGCTGATACTGACCTCTGGTCCCTGTGTAACAGCACAGATATCTCCTCTGGGACATTGAAGTTTGTTTTGAAATGCATGCAGCTTTAAACCACAAGATGGCAGCAGATACATCTCAGTAAAAGAGGAAGAAGCAAACTGAAGTGTTGAGGAAGGACTGAGATAATATACATAAATATGACAGCAGGAGATAAAACATGTTTTTCTTCTTTTTGTTCTTAAGGTATTCAACTGTTTTAAAAATCCAGTAAACATTAAATTCAACAAATGTGTCATGAAGCATTTCAGCACTTTAAAAGCTTTTGATGAATGACATACATTGTTGCGAGATACATTGTTCGGAGTAAATGAAGTGTGGCATGATATTTATTGGTTTACAAAAGTGAAATTAACAATGTTATCGCTTGCACTTGTTTACAAAAAAAACAAAAATAAATGATTAACTCATGACTTGTAAATCAATTATTAATATTGTCCAAAACCTGGTCTGTCCAAATCAAATGAACTCCACCATCAGACACGTGAGGAGGGAATTGTTGCAAAAATATGCAATATATGTCCATATGTGTACATGATACACAGTGGCACATCTAATATTATACATATAAACCATTTGTTGATTTCAGAGTTTCATAAAGAAATGCTTTAAGGTCTGTCGTCTGTGTCACATTTTAAAGGTGTGACCAATCTAAAGCTATACACAAATAAAATGTTGTTGCTTTTACATTGTACATTTAAATATACTCATTACGAGGTACAGCTGCATTGGTCATTAAAAAAAGACGTGTGTGTCTTTGTTTTCATTTGTTAATTTGATAATGATTGCAGTCCTGTTTAAAGACGCTGCATGCTGTGTGTGTGTGTGTGTGTGTGTGTGTGTGTGTGTGTGTGTGTGTGTGTGTGTGTGTGTGTGTGTATGCTGACACCTGCTAGAGAGCTGCTTATTTGCATGATAAACGTGCAGCCCATCTTGTTAAGCGCCCTGAATGTAAACTGATGTCGCCTGTTGATCCTGCACCTGAGAGGTCAGCCCCGCCCCCTACAAACACCGGGGCAATTACCGGAGAAATCCCCGGATGAGTTGTTGAGGCAGCCTCGCCTTACGGAAATCCAACCTAAAGGGTTGGGGAGAAACTGTGACCTTCACTTGGGATAATGTGAAGACAAACTACCAGTGGTGTAAAAAGTACTGGTACTTTAGTACACTTATCAGAGTACGTTATTTGAGTATTTACTTTTGTTGCTGTTCTTCTACCCAGCCCATCCGCATAATAAGTATTTTTACTTAAAGTACATTTATATGCTAGTAACCTACTTTTGTACTTTTACTTGAGTAACATTTTGAATGCAGGACTTTTACTTTATTATTCCTAAAATCTACTTCTACGTTTACAAGATCTGATTACTAAAAAATCAAATCAATTACGTTCAGTCTGATATTCTAAATGCGTAATATGTGTGTCTAAAAGGTGGACAGGCGGGGACTAAACCGGATTGATTTTAGGTCCCTCCTTTAACCACGCTGCCACCGTCTCCTCACCGGCAGTTTAGCAGTAAAACATTTTTATAATCAGACGTTATTGTTCGCCGCCTCCTTGTGGGAGATGCGCCCATGTTCATTTTTTAAAAGGGCAAATCAGCCATAATTCAGTTTATAAACTGCAGCGCGCAGGGGAGAAATGCCTGGATGAATATTCATTAGAGACCGCCTGAACTGCCACGCTCGGTGATTCATTGGGCATATGTAAATATCACTCACTTTAATTGCCCCTAAACTGACTCAACATAATGTTGTCATTAGCAAATTATTACTTATTTGTGATACTAATGGTACGGTATGGCGCGTAGTGCTGAAGCCCCACATATATGATTGCAATTACAGCTCTTTTATTCACCACTGATGGATCTGTGTGTGTCTGTGTGCGTGTGTCTGTGTGTGTGTGTGTGTGTGTGTGTGTGTGTGTGTGTGGCTAAGGTGCCAACAACTCGTTTCTCAGACACATGCACGGAAGACTTCACTCGACCCAGTCATTAGAGACACACACACACACACACACACACACACACACACACACACACACACACACACACACACACACACACACACACACACACACACACAAACAGAACTCAGGACAGTTTTATGGACAAGTTAATGTGTTCTTTATGTATCATCTGGACTGATTTAGAATTAAAAAGGAAATAATTTCTCCTCTCAACATCTTAAACCTTAATGTAGTTCCTTATTTACTATAATAATTAGATCATAATAACTGGTTAAATAAAAACAATACAAATAAAGTTAACTGAATGGTTATAATAGACAGTGTGGCTAAACCTTGAGATACTCATATGAAATACAATTCCAAGTTATTTTGTGTATATGGACTATACCATCTGAAAAATATGCATTAAATTGGACGTGTGCTCAACATGTTTTTGTTTTATAAATGATCATGTATAAAACGACATATTTGAAACTATGATTAAAAGTGCAGTTCAATTCAATTTAACTAGAATCTGCATAAAAAACCCTAGTGAATGAAAGATATTTCAAAGAGGAACAACAACATTTATGTATGCACAAAGTACGATGTGATTGTTTGTTATTTGCAATAATGTTGATAATGTCTTCATTTAATAAAACAAATAATCTAAAAAAGGAGTTATATTTTCCCAGATGGACAGATTGAGACTGATGCGAAATGACCACATACAAACACAAAGTGGGTGTTTACTATAAGTCAGTGGGGAAGAAAAGTTAACCAAAATGCAGGTACACAATATTAAATACTCTGCTGTCCCAAAAGGTTTGTTTTTGTTTTAGATGTCCTCAAATCTCCCCTAAAAAGTGACTCAATTTATGTTAATCTGAAGAAAAATGATCGGGGATTAAAGATACTTTGTGGATTTACTATTGCGAGATTTATTAATTCATACACACAAAAAAACAAAGTTTAGTTCAGAAAAACAAAGCCTGGCATCAGATTCTTGACATTTACCTAAATCCTCTGACTCCAAACTCCTCCATGACTCACCCTGAAACCCGAGGCTGTCGTATTTTTTTAAATGACCTATTGTTGTATATTTTAAAAGAAAAATCCCTGCCTGTTTGTCACAGTCTGCACAACACGACACGGTGTGGAGTTGTTTTATAGAGGCAGCAGCAGTTTGAAACAACAACCATGACAAAACAGGCCAACAAAACAGAGGGAGAGAGAGAGAAGGACAGGCAGGGACAAATAATGATGTGTATGCGTCTGTGTGTGCGCGTGTGTTTGTATGTGTGTGCGTCTGTGTGCGTGTGTTTGTATGTGTGTTTGTGTGTGCGCGTGTGTTTGTATGTGTGTGCGTCTGTGTGTGTGTGTGTGTGTGTGTGTGTGTGTGTGTGTGTGTGTGTGTGTGTGTGTGTGTGTGTGCATCTGTGAGAGACTGTGAGGGAGCTAATAAAGTAATGTGATGGATGATCTCCTTTCTCCCAGAGGGACCAGCACCATGTAAATTGGCCCACACAATGCATTATGGATAAGGCAGTTGAGATTATAGCTTGTTAATGTGTCCCTCCCTCGTACCCTCCCTCTCCTCTCTCACTCTCTCACTCTCTCCCTCTGCTTCGGCTCAGGCAGTGACATGGTCACCTCATTGTCGGGGCGCGTGGGTCTTTTAGGTGCAGATGGAGAGGGAGAGGAGCTGTGCCAGGTTTACTGGAGTAAATTTGTGTATCTGTGTGTGTAAACTTATATTACTGACATGGCGGGGACCAAAGTATGTTTACACAGTCACATCACGATGACTGACCTCCCTTATGGGGACCGTCTTTTTGTCCCCACATGGTTAACTTTTAAGATTTGTGTTTCGGTGACCGTTTTGGTTACAAAAACAGTGAGTGTGTGTGTGTGTGTGTGTGTGTGTGTGTGTGTGTGTGTGTGTGTGTGTGTGTGTGTGTGTACCTCTTCTCCACTGCTGTGTATGAGGTAGATCTTGTATTGCAGGCTGTTGTGCATCTTCCTGACGAGCAGCCTGGGGGGCTTCACACGGACCACAATGCCTTGCACCGTGCGGTTCAGCCTCAATAAAGGAGAGCTGATTTTGGCTGCAGATACAATAGAATAAATCTTGTTTAGTTTAATATATTTTTACATAATGTTGAAACACAGATTCAAAGTGATAAAAGAGAGACAGATTACAAAAAGACATGAAAGAAGAGATCATTTTTCAAGTTGGTTTTGCATTTCTGACCTCCTATTACCGGTCATGGTGTACTTCATTCACATTTGAGACAGACTGTTTCGAACAGGACTTCAATTTGCAGGATGCGGGGTTATATACCAGGCAACATCATAGATTTGTCAAACGTATTCTTCATTTAAAAATAATAAGATTGAATTTCTCCAGAAAAAAAGGGCAACAAAAATACCGTTGCACTGAGCAAGAGACGGGGACCGGAAACAATGGATAGTATAATAAAGTCAAAATACATATTATTTAGCAAATCATAATCAGAGGTATGTAAATGTAATTTCTAATATCTGAACACCTAATATCTTATTCTCAAATCTTTACTATAACCTCTCCCTGAGTAAAATATTTGAAACACATTTCCTCTCCTGGAAATAAAACATGAGCTACTTATATTATCATTTTCAGTTTGGTGAAGCCAGAGGACAAAGAAGAAGAAGAGGATGATGACGATGAAGAGGAAAACATGAAACACTCACTGTCCGACCGCGGGCTGAACCTCGGGGAGAGCGTCCAGGCTGATTTGCTGGCGGGCGGAGAGGAGGCGTGCACTCTGGCGTAATACCACTCTCTGAGGTCAGAGGTCAGGGCGCTGAGGTCACACTGAGGCTTCTGGATCCTCTGACAGCCGTCAACGTCCAACCAATCAAACTCTCCATAACTGAGGAGGAGCAGAGAGAGGATCCTGTTCAGCACGGATCATGTGTGTGCGTGTGTGTGTGTGTGTGTGTGTGTGTGTGTGTGTGTGTGTGTGTGTGTGTGTGTGTGTGTGTGTCTCACATCTTCCACTGAACGGAGTACTGCAGAGAGCTGCTGTTGCCGGGCGGAGTCCAGTGCAGAACGTGTTTGTAGTCCACAGAGTCGAACCTCACCTCGGTGGGTTTGGAGAGCGTCTCTGGAGCTGAGGGCGTAATGGATTACATTATGGTTTATTAGGACATAAGAGCATCAAGTGCATGAATATAAAAGGAGGTAATTGGTTTGTTATTAAAGAAAAGCTCCTATGTTAACTACAAATATAACAGGACAGAAGAACACAGAGAAAATACAAAAACAAGAAATGAAGTAAAATACGAGGGAAAAGTGTATGACAGTTGAAACTCCAAATCGAAAAAAAACAAATGAGGTGCAGCCAAACAATTTAGCTCCCAAAACTGCTCTGAAATTATACAGAACATTTATTATTTTGTGTTACAAAAGAAATTTTCTGAGCCCTTGAGTGACTCTTTAAAAAAATGTATCAGCAAGATGTTTTTCACCTTTTAGAAAAACGGACTTTGATCCTGGTCATTTGTCTCATAGCTAAAATGTCCAACTAACAAACAAGTTAAATATGTTATTGGGGAATTCAACTGTATGTCCACATTAATACTGAAGTTACCTCTTGTGTTTTATTTCACACTGGGATAATTCGTGTTTCAAAGAAAATAATTGTCCTTGCAAATTATTTCTAAGAATTCAGTCATCCGTCTGGTATGAAGCAGGCTTTTGTTTTTCCTTAGAAAGACTTTCACAAAAACTTCTACCTCATGATGCGCTTCATTGTTCCTGAAATGCTGAGGCTTTTTTGTTATTAAACCTGGCCTGAAATGTAATTCCTCGAAATCTCAGAGTTCATTTCACACTCACATGTCATTCGCTCCTGAGCAAGAAGCAACACACGTCACATTTATTTTCCTAATCCAAACAAATATATTTCCTTTTTTGTTGCTTACTGGTAATAAATAACAAATTCAAATCGTTACTGATGTCTGAAAATGATTTAGAGACACTCGGTATCTGACACCATTTCACTTAATTGAACCCTTATTATTTCCCTTTAAATGTTGCCTTTTATTACATTTTATTCAAGTGCGTTTAATCTAGTATTAGTGAGCTATTATTGGTTGGTTTATTTTAATTAAAGAGCAATACATTTGAAGTTACACTCATCACTGTGAATTAAAAAATGTTAACCGCGATCTGAGATAGAATCTGGCTGCTACTTAGAAATTATTAGACTGCCAAGGCACACNTAAAGAGCAATACATTTGAAGTTACACTCATCACTGTGAATTAAAAAATGTTAACCGCGATCTGAGATAGAATCTGGCTGCTACTTAGAAATTATTTATCTAATATACTATATTCCAATAACTTGAAAATAGACTCTTATTGCACTATTTCACTTTTTTTCTTTTTGTATTTACTGTTTACTTGGACTATTTTTTTCTGTGTATCTTTTTTATTGTGTTGCACTGTTGGAGGAGCCTGTGACCTAAGATTTTCATCGTCATAACTACACTGTAGCTATGTACGTATAACCAATAAAAGCCTTGAACCTTTATTCGATGTGACTTTGAAATAAATCTAGCCAGACAATAACAATCCTTATGTCATAAATCACATACAAATAAATGATATCTCACCGCGAGCGGCGCTGCAGACTCCCAGGTGCCCCAGCAGCACGGCTCCCAGCAGCAGACGGCTCATGGTGGTGAGGTTGGAGGACGACAGACACAATGCTGCTGAACTGATGCTGCAGAAAACACGCAGACCTTTAATGTCCCGTCAACTTCCCCCTTTTTAAATTCCATGATGACCTTTGTGACTCTACAGTGTTACATGTTTTGATACAGAAGTACATGTTTGTGAATTACGTGAGTGGTTTCCTTACAAAACACTGAACTATTCAATTCAAATTCAATTCAAAACCTTTATTTATCCAGGTGAAATCCCATTGAGGTCAATGATCTCTTTTTTCAAGGGAGACCTGCAGCAGTAGGTTCCACATGAAGACATAAAAACATAAACAACAGAACAACAAAAGGACATCATACACCAACATTTACAGGGATTACATCACTTAACATTTGTTAAGTGATGTAATCCCTGTAAATGTTGGTGTATGATGTCCTTTTGTTGTTCTGTTGTTTATGTTTTTATGTCTTCATGTGGAACCTACTGCTGCAGGTNAGACACACACACTCACTCTCTCTCTCTCCAGCCAACACACACACACACACACACACACACACACACACACACACACACACACACACACACACACACACACACACACACACACACACACACACACACACACACGAAAACATCAGATCCACTAAGCTGGCCTTGCTTAGTAGATTGTCTGAATAAGAGAATAAGACGCAGCGAGCCGGGAACACGCTACGTGATTTAAACCCCCATTATAACCCATTTCAAGGAGAAGAGAATCTGCCCTGCTTTTTCAGCAAAGAGGGTCAAAACACGTGTCTGGTGCTGAAACTGTTAGTTCATTAATTGATTAATCAGTCGACAGATCAGTTGGTATAAGTCAGATTTTCTCAGATATTTTCCAGCTTCTAAAATGTGAGATTGATTGAGTTTTATGTGATGCAGAGACAGAAAACAAGCTATTTGAAGACATGTTTGGGGTTTTTCTGACATTTCACAGATGGGTAATTATTCACAGATTAATCAGTAATAAGAAAAAAAAATTGCAATTTTAATATGCAATGGATCAAGCATTTAATTATCTTTATTCCTGTTGGATTCACCAACAAATTACTGATGCAGGTTAGTCACACGTGAGAAAAGTCGAACAACTGGTAAATGCTGCATCTTTGCTTGAATATCCCCATGTAAGAACATTCAAAGTCATCAGGTTTCAGTGCCCTACAGATTATTAAAGTAAACAAAGATTTACTGAGCAGCAGTAAAACATCCCAGTGTATCAGAGCAGCTGTTTGTGTGAGCTGAGTGTGTGCAGGTGTTGAGCTCTCAGTGGGATCATTCAGCCATTTTCCTGCTGGTTCCCGTACACTTGTTTATTAGACGCTTTAAGGACCATACAGCTGCTTTTGAATGCTGTTGACCAGTTAGGCACAGATTGCTTAATGTTGTACATCCCTGCTGACCATTTACCAGAGCTTGCCAAAAAATGTTCTCTTCACTTCACCTTTAAACTATCAATGATGCAACTGCAAACTTACTTGAGAGGCAGTCAGTAAACATGATTCCCCATTTTTTTCAGTCACATGTCAGTACCTCAGGTCGGAGAGTTGCCTGGTAAACAAAACAGTTGTGATTGAAGTGATCGTTTCATGTACAGTATCCTTTTTCACGATGCCAATGTTCTCTTTTTTAGCTAAATATTTAATTGTTAAATTGACTCAGATTAATGTACCGTAAGAAGGTGAATGTCGGAGAGGGACTGGATTATAGAAAACAAGTGTAGGTTGCTGCTAAATTGCTTATAAATTAGGCCTCTTCATATATAAGAGAGAAATAATGTGCTGTTTCTCATTAATAACTTATGAAGGCTCACGTTTTTATTGGTGGGATCGTTTACGACCAAGCTTAAATTATAAAAAGTCCCCCCAAAAAAGAGACAATCATTTTATTTTTGTTGGACAAATGTGCCGGGGAACATCTGCCCTGGGATGCCCTGACACACACCCTGCATCCAACAGAAGCACACACTCCTGCTAGTTAGCGACAGCCCGGCTAGCCACAAAGCTACAGTAGCATTTCCTCTAGACCAGCTCCTCGGGTCCTGCTTCAACAGATGGCCCAACTGGTCCCTTGACAGGCCTGCAAGGAGGGGGGAGAGTGGGATGATGGGAGAGTTAAAGGGGGATGGAGGGAGGATGGGGGAGTTAAAGGGGGATGGAGGGAGGTTGCGGGGGGTTGGCACCCTCTTAGGAAGGACTGGGGGGGGGGAGGATGTGGGAGGTGAGGGGGGAGGTGGAAGACATATGTCCACAGCCCTGGCCCCTGACGACCGACTGGTCTCTGCTGGATGCTGACACACACACACACCACACACACACACACACACCACACACACACCACACACACACACACACACACACAACACACACACACACACACACACACACACACACACACACACACACACACACACACACACACACACACACACACACAGGCACCACACAGAGAGCATCACACACACACACACTCACTGTTTTTGTAACCAAAACGGTCACCGAATACACAAATCCTTAAAAGTTAACCATGTGGGGACAAAAGAACGGTCCCCATAAGGGGAGTCAGTCATCGTGATGTGACTGTGTAAACCCATACTTTGGTTCCCGCCATGTCAGTAATATAAGTTTACACACACGATACACAAATTTACTCCAGTAAACCTGGCCAGCTGCTCCTCTCCCTCTCATCTGCACACTAAAGACCCACGCGCCCCGACAATGAGGTGGACCATGTCACCTGCCTGAGCCGAAGCAGAGGAAGAGAGTGATGAGAGTGAGAGAAGGAGAGGGAGGGTNCTAGATATCATATGGAAGCTGAGAGTCCACATATTCTATTAGTATACGTTTCATCACTGTGCGATCAAAACTCACTCTTAACCCTGTGTTCTAGTATGATAAATAAAAGAACATTGTACCTTGAAAATCAATGCATTCTAATAGCGGGTCCATTTGACCCGTTGGCGGTTTAGGTATACAGCGACCCCTGGCGGTTCAAGTGTTAAAGAACTTGAAATGATTCTCTGTTCCCTTTTTATCTCTATTCCTCCACCCCCCTGTTTTAATCTCACTTTCAACACTTTCTATTAATGTTCCCTTCGTCCCTATGTCTGCCATTTGATTGGTATTCCATTCTGCTATCTCTCTTCCTGTTGGCCTTGGATGATGGTCGTGAAGAAGATGATGATGATTGCAAAATGCTCGGTGGTCAATTGACAGGTTCTCTCCATCCACTAAATTACTGCTCTAATCAATGAAATAATTGCAATGCTAAGCATGACATGAAAACAGCATCAAGGGATGATGCTTTATGATGTTTACGTGATGGATGGAGAAAATATTGGATGAGCAAATGGAAAGAGCACTGCAAGATGGTCTGAAGACGAAGATAGGATAATGTAGAACTGGAAAAAATAGGAATTGGATTGATGGGTGGATGATGGGTAGAAGGAGACAATCAAATACAGTATAAAAGCAGATGTGGATATAGACAGTGATGGAGGGACAGAAGAGTCGATGGATGGACTAACCGATATTAGGAAACGAACAAATGGGGAATGGAAGTATTAATGGATGAGTGTATGGACGTATGAATGGATAGATGACCGTGGGAGGAGCGGAGTAATGTGTTGACGAGAAAACAGGATTGGTAAGACGATGAGAGAGGTGATGGATGGATCGATGGAAAGAAAAAATGTAATTAAATGAAACAAAAGTCGATAGAAGAACAAAGTTGTGTGAACTGAGTTTGGAGAGTTGGGGTCATGGCATGGATTAAAGACGACATACAATGCTCATCTTCAAGGTCATATTTGCATTCTGTGCCTCTACTGTGACATGTTTGATGTTCAATGTTTTCTGATTGGTTAGCTGGCCCGCTCTGTTGCAATTGGTTAACTGCTTAGAGATGACCCTGCCCTTAACCTATCACGTAATATTTTGACGGGACGGGACGGGACGGGGGGGGGTTGAGTGTTTGGGAGAGAACAGGGAACACAGGGATTTTAGACCATTTACATGCACCAAACCTATATAGCACACTACAGGAAAGGGAAAACCCCAAAAGCATTACAGGACCCCATTAAGAGATAATAAAGGGTTACTAAAAGTAGAGAACAATTGATCGACACGTATGTTTGTTTTACACTTCACGTGCGGTCGTTTTATCATGCAAGATTTTGTTCTATTCTAGATAGTCTTTTTTTGTATTTGTTATGCATTTGTTGTACGTACCACATTTTTCTTCACCGGGATTATGAAAATGTTGTTTTACATCTTGTATCTCTCTCTAATTGTAGATAGAACATATGGTTCAAGAAAAACACTAGCGTAACTCTGTGAAGATGTATAACAGCAAATGTGTGCCGTTGCACAAATCACTCAAGCGTTGTTTTGCATTCTGCTTCATCATGCCTTGATGTGTATCAGCAAATGGCAAAGAAACCTGTGTGGCCAGTTATTTACATCACTGTTAATCAGCGTACATATGGCCATTTTTCTTGGCCAGTTGGTTTTAAGAGCCTATATGATGCAGAGTAGGTGTCTATTATTGTGATTTGTCTTTTTCTGTTTTTCTTTCTCTCCGTTTCCTGGGCAGATAAAACATGGGCTCAGCAGGTATAACATTGATTCAGCTGGTAAACAGAGGAGATGAGAGGAGGAACGGATGAAGTGAGAGGGAAGAGTGAACACTGACGTTTGCAAATTAAGCGGAAGTCAAGAATGGATGCTCGAATACCTGATAATGAGTTTAGGAAAGGACAGGAACAAAACGGAAAAGGCACAGAAAAAGCAGAACATGTGAGTATGGCAGAGAAAAATTATTCAAACTAAATGGTGAAAAGAATATTAGAAAAACTCTTATTGGTGGGGCTGGATTTACCAAAAGTAGGAAAGGCTGAACAAATACAATTAAATAAATGGCCAGAAATTGGGCTTGTGGCCAATCAGCCATAGTAGCATTACAATAAAAATGATTATATATATA